GCAGTACGGATCGTCATTCTAGAATCATCACCGCACTCCTCTACATCATCATCATCATCATCATCATCATCATCATCATCATCATCATCATCATTGTCTCCATCATCTCCATCCGCATCTCCATCATCTCCATCGTCATCATTTCCATGATCATCATCTCCATCATCATCATCATCATCACAACCACAACCACAACCACAACCACAACCACAACCACAACCACAACCATCATCATCGCTCCCCCGCGTCATACCGAAACATCTTTGCATGGCTTCGGTCCCAGGATGCAAGCAAGTTCACCCTCGTAGTCCACCTTGACCTCCTCTGCCAGTCATCAGGCAAGTTCAGGAACATGAAACGCAAAAGACAGTGAGGAGACAAGCAACGGGGCACATCCAATTGCAAAAGAGACGAGAGCATCGCAGGCCTAGGGGATGGCAAGTGATCCGGTCAGACCTGACGGCAGTACGATGTCTTCCCCTGTCCCTATCATCGTGTTCAACCCCTTTGCAAAGATGATGGGCTTCGAGGGAACAGGCTTGCCAAGCTCAGAAGCGTGACTGGCATAGTTCATGCCGACAGCATAGATCTGTGGAGGGACTGAAGAAGACCATTCAAGACAGAAAACACCCCCGCTGCTCGATGCTCCTACCTGCTGCTCCATCCCACGGCAAACATCCTCTAGGGTATTCTCCAGCAGACGCAACGATGCATGCTGACCGTCGAGGTCGAGGTCTCATCGGCACAGCAGCACGCGGCTCTATGAGCCATCCTCCTCGCCCTCCTCTGAACAGGTCCATCCCCCATTTGTTCTTCCACGATAACACGCGAGCAGCATAGGGAGCGACGAAGTTTGCCATGCGTCTATGGCAGCGCTTGCTTGTAGTCGGCTGAGCTCCTGCAAGTGAGAGGAGGAGACTGAGGGCTACAACGGCGAGCAGGACTAGGACGCGACTTGGAGGACCATGCCTCGATCTCACACCTGCTCCTGTCCAGCTCTGCATCAACAAGTTCACATCAGGGAACTACACGTTGACCATTGCCTCGACCCTCAAGAAAAAATAAGGTTATACCAGCAAGTCCGCCTCAACCCAAAACTGAGAGCCTTTCAGGAGAAGGCAGCGACAATCTCTACTCGACCGTAAGAGGCGGTACAGCTAGGAGAAGGCAGCGACAATCTCTACTCGACCGTAAGAGGCGGTACAGCTAGGAGAAGGCAGCGACAATCTCTACTCCAACCATAAGAGGCAGTACAGCTAGGAGAAGGCAGCGACAATCTCTACTCCAACCATAAGAGGCAGTACAGCTAGGAGAAGGCAGCGACAATCTCTACTCCAACCATAAGAGGCAGTACAGCTAGGAGAAGGCAGCGACAATCTCTACTCCAACCATAAGAGGCAGTACAGCTAGGAGAAGGCAGCGACAATCTCTACTCCAACCATAAGAGGCAGTACAGCTAGGAGAAGGCAGCGACAATCTCTACTCCAACCATAAGAGGCAGTACAGCTAGGAGAAGGCAGCGACAATCTCTACTCCAACCATAAGAGGCAGTACAGCTAGGAGAAGGCAGCGACAATCTCTACTCCAACCATAAGAGGCGGTACAGCTAGGAGAAGGCAGCGACAATCTCTACTCCAACCATAAGAGGCAGTACAGCTAGGAGAAGGCAGCGACAATCTGTACTCCAACCATAATGAAAGGCAGCACCGTGACGAGCCTCCACCTCCTTGAAAAATCCGTCAACGTTTCAAAAACGCAACGGCTGTCTTTTACATCATCTAAAGTTTTTTTGTTGTCAGGGCCGACGCATGTCACGAGACGACTTTACTCCATGGCTGCGAGCTCTTGAATTCAAGTCGATTGAGTGGGTAAATCTGAGAATGATTGTCAAACGATGCGATCTCGCCGCATAGCGGTGTTTTATGATATGGAGTTTGTTCGTATTTCTCTCTGTAGTAAACCAAGAGTTTGCAACATGGCCGCGTCTTTCCACCAAGAACGCTGCCTGCCACGGAGCATTGAAGGCTGACAGGCGGCCAGAAAAAAACTCATCCCTCCCATCGAATCATTGGCACATAAACGTATCCGTGGTTTGATATCCAGTGAAACGGAACCTTTGGACGGGGGATAGAGTTGGGAGTAGTCCATCCAGGCTCCACAACACTCGGGGCGGCGAGTATATCTCTCAGTCAAGCAATCTCGCACACCTCTCCTCCTTCGGCACCTGCTCCCTCCCCATGCTCCCATGCTCCCTCCCCATGCTCCCATGCTCCCTGCTCCCTGCTCATGCCCCTAGCGCTGACGCTCCTGACGGGGAGTCCTTCCTCTCCTCCTTCCGCGCCATGTACGGCTCCTGCCCCTCCGTCTGCCCGGTCTCCGACGCCTCCAACCTGGTCACCGACTTCACTGCCCTAGAGCGAGCAGCGAGCACGATGCTGGACTGGAAGGAGGCAAAGGCTGAGGCTCTGCGAGACCTTGAGATTGAAATACGAGTTTGAGGTTGGATGTGTTGATGTGTATAGTTGTGTAATATAGGCGTTGACGAGAGCAGACCTGTTGTGTGGTGTGGAGGTACGCCTACACGCCTGCCACGCATAGATGAACCGAGAACACTCGCCATTGTACACGTTGTTCTTGCTCACTTTACATTTGAGCTCGGCACAAATGTTGTCAAGGTTGAACTGTGCCGTGTACGGCCACGTGTGCATTCCCAGGCGGCGGCAAGCGAGCTTGAGGGAAGAGCACGGTCTGTTTGAAAGGGACATCCCAAGAGCTTTCAGGTGCATTCGTGATCTTTAGTTCTGCTCCTTGCAGTCTCGCCGCAAACATATATTGATGGTACGGTTTACTTGCGATGCAGCAGCTATTTGCCAGCATGTCGCGATTGGATCCGATGTCATTCTATGCTGTAACGTATCTGTGAGTAGCACTGGTAGATTGCTAGTCACCGCTATCCAATCACTGCCACTCAACATCCGGTATACACCGGAAAGCTGCTTGCTTGCAAGCCTGGCTGTGTCGGCGCCAGCCACCGCACTCGGTTCTAGACGACAAGACGATGATAGACGGACCAATGAACTCAGTCGGTGACTTGACCTGACGTAACATGCCGGCCGCTCGGCGCCTGACCTGAGGCTGCGTGTGGTATCTGATGATGACCCCCGCAGCGATCTGGCGGCTGGCGGGAATGTATAGGCCGCCCGGCCGCACATGCCATAGAGCGAAGCCTGCTGATGGTACTAATGACGGTTCCGAGTTCAGTTCACAGTCAGCATGCCAGTGGCACACTAAGACGTAAGTTTGACAACCATGAGATACTGGACTAGTATGCCAGGCTCGACTCACCCGGCAGCACTGCCAGTAAATTCAGCCTGTGACTCGGAACCGTGGCAGTGAAACGGTGGCCGGGCGTACCCGCCGGGCAGATCGGGCCGGGTCCCGGACGGGGAACGGTTCTGCACTGACCCGGCCGCGTCGCCGGTATGTTCTACCGCGACAAACTATCGTTACTGAAGTGAAGCCTGTTAGCCTGGACTGAGGAACAGTCGTTCGGATCAGTCACAGTCCGACTGCAGCCGCCAGATCGGACACCGCCGCGCCCGGGGCGCGAGTCAGTCTTGCAAAACTTACTGCGGCGTCCAATCATCGAGTATGATTCCTTTCAATGTGTCGGAAGCCAACTACGTCCCAGTTCAAGGTTGAAGTTTGGATCATTGCTACTCAGTGTACCATGATAGTACTGCCAGTCCCACACAGCCGCTACCGTACTGGCAGCCTGTGCCAGTCGGGCCGGCGGCGGCCCGGGCGGCATTGACTCAGTGACTGGCCGGGCAGATGATACCCCGGGCCCGGTCTCGTGCCGAGCTCCGTAATACTGTGGCCCCGGCCCAGCGAGGCCCGGAGTGCCGCCCCCCGGAGGCTCCGGGCCTCACGAGTCAGCACAGAGTCAGCAGTCAGGTCCCCTGGCCCGGCGGCGGCCGGGCCGGGAGGCAGGCCGGCGGCCGGGCGGGTCGTCAGACATGACTGAGGCGAGCACGAAGATGTGCCCGAAATGGAGTGTCGGGGAGACGGAGATGCAGGAGGAGGAGAAAGGGAGGTAGATGATGGCGATGCTGGGTGTGAGTGAGACTATGCTGGAGGAGAGAAGGGAAGATGACAGACATGAAGATGAGTAAGCATCAGTAGATGAAGCAAGCAGGGTCCTGGATGATTTGCACTAGTGGAAGACAGAAAGCGATCATTGGCTTTCGAGGAGGCAACGGTATGCACAGAAGGAAAGATATAAACAGAAGAACAACGGATTGTTCCATGAGACAAGATATGATTTGTATGTTTTGTTGATTTCAATGCACAGATTCGCATTGCTGCGACATGGCTCACGCGCGGGCCAGTGCTTTCTCCTTAGACCTGAAAGGGTGGTTGAAATTCGGTCAGAAGGCCGGCAACGATGTCGAGGAGGAGCAGAGATTGAGGCCTGAGACGTGGAGTGACAATTTCATCGGAAGCTTGATGAGGTCAATGCCCTCGGCGAGTGTTGGCGGTGGGCAGGCAAAGGACAAGAATCCCACCACCAACGGTGACTGTTGAAATCTTGTAGTGTGCTGGTGTTTCGTTTCCTTTTGCCGTATTCTGAATTCCAGCGTTATCTGCTTGGTCTATGTTCCGCTCGAGCTGACTGCATGATTGAAAATGTTCCAGTCGATTTCGTTTATGTGATGTTGCTCTGTTGATAGTTACTGATACTCTTTCTCTTGGACTTTTTGCTTGAGCAGTTGTTCAACACGCTGCACCAATGACAAGCAAGCAGATCAGCAGAGACAATATGAGGTACGAGGAGCGAAAGCTGCTTATTACTCTTGATGTTGCTTTTGATTTGTTGTGACCAGTTGTCTTGATTTGAGCTACGGCAAATTGGCGAGCACGGCGTTTGACGCAAATGTGAGAGCAAGAGAAGGGAGCGAGGCAGAGGAGGCAGGGAGTTAAGAGGAGGGTCTTGGGGGAGGAGGATGAGAAGGGAGTGAGAACCTGGAGGGATCAGAACCAGCTCAGTCTTCATGTTCTCACTTTTTCCTCTTCTTTTCAATCCTTCCCATCTCTCTTTTTGTCCTTGGGTTCATTTTGACTTTTGACTCAAAGGACTTTCCCTACCTGAAATCTTTGCGAATGGGAAACAACAACTTGAAAGAGATCCTCCCGAATACGCTGAGAAGTACATCAACGGATTGAGAGCTGCTTGCAAAAAAGCTGAAACTGCCGACAGATTTGACCTGTTTGACCTGGCTCGAGCTCCACGACAACTCACTTGAGAATATCCCCGACGAGATCGGAAGACTTGTGTAATGATCCTCAAGTTTTTTTTGTTTCCCTCTGCCTGCTCCTGCTCCTGCTCCTGCTCCTGCTCCTGCTCCTGCTCCTGCTCCTGCTCCTGCTCCTCTTTCTCTCCTGCTCATTTCCGTCTCTTGCTCCTCTACCATCGAACTCTCTTTGTTTCGAGTGATTGCGTTGTATTGCATTCCCTCTCCTTCCTGTATTCCTCTCTTGTACTTCGCTTTTGGTTCTCATTCTGTTTCCTCTAGGGACCTCCGTGGCCTGTCGCTTCACGACAACAAGCTGACATCCTTGTCCCCGTCGCTCGCAAACCTTCACAAGCTCACCCTCCTCACTCTTTCCGGTGCAGAAAAGTCTCCTCCCTCCTCTTTTCTACCTCAAGTTCGATCTGCTCAACTCTGACTCTCCTCTTCTCACCTTGCTGCCTCATCCCTTCCCATCTCTTAACTCAACCTTATCCCCCCTCCTCCACCCCCTAACTTGCCTCCTCTCCTCACCTCACCTCACCTCTCCTACTCCTCTCCTACTCTCTCCTCTCCTCTCCTCCTCCTCC